CAGTGTAATAACAGACTTTTAACTATCTGCCGGCAGAGCAATAGCTTAATTACAGGACTGTAATTGTACTGGCAGTACAGTTACAGTCATATAAGTGAGCTACTTAAAATGCGATCACAGACATTAAGTTATCTACCGGCAGTACAGTTACAGTACTGTGAGGAAACTACTTTTAATGCAATCACAGACTTTGAATTATCTACCGGCAGTACAGTTACAGTCCTATAATAGAGCTACTTAAAATGCAATCACAGACATTAAATTATCTACCGGTATTAGAGTTACAGTCCTGTAAGTGAGCCACTTACAATGCAATCACAGACATTAAGTTATCTACTAGCAGTACAGTTACAGTCATATAAGTAAGGTACTTAAAATGCAATCACATATATTAAGTTATCTACCAGCAATACAGTTACAGTACTGTAAGTGACCTACTTACAATGCAATCACAGACATTAAATAATCTACCGGCAGTACAATTACAGTACTGTAAGTGAACTATTTACAATCACAGACTTTGAATTATCTACCGGTAGTACAATTACAGTCCTGTAAGTGAGCTACTACAATGCAATCACAGACTTTTAATTATCTTCCGGCAGTACAGTTACAGTACTGTAATTGTACTGCCGGTAGATAATTAAAAGTCTGTGATTGTAAATAGTTCACTTAAAGAACTGTAACTGTACTGCTGGTAAATAATTAAAAGTCTGTGATTGTAAGTAGTTCACTTACAGTACTGTAACTGTACTGCCGGTAGCTAAATCAAAGTCTGTGACTGTATTTAGTTCACTTACAGTACTGTAACTGTACTGCCGGTAAATAAATTAATGTATGTGATTGTATTTTAAGTAGCTCACCTATATGACTGTAACTGTAACGGCAATTAACCCCAAAATTATTTGCCGGCACTGCCGGCAATTACCGCTTGCGATAATTTTGAAGATAATGTAAATAGTTTTATACTTCGAGTGTAATTTTTTCAAGATGGAATTAACAGAAAAAAAAGTTAAAGAATTTAATGGAAAAATTTATATCTCTCAGTGAAAGTTGTCTGTTTACTTTGCAAGAATTTATAACGAAAGCTATAGAATTTCAACCTTTTATATGAGGCGAATGCATAGAAAAAAAAAGATTATTTATATAAGAATGGTGTGGGCAAATATTTTAATAACAATATGTGGGATTGTTTTTTTCGTTATGAATTTACGAGATCAGAGGAAATGCCTTATATCAGATTTTAAAAGTTCAAAAACGTCTTGAAATTTTTCGTTATGTTTTCCGCTAAACATAGTTTTTGTTTTACGTTGACTGATTTGTTAACAATTAATCTTTAAAATAGTCCTCATATGTAAAACTTTCAGTAACATAATTACCTATGCATACTTTTTTTCAAATATATCCATTTTGTATCGTTCCGGAAATTTTTCGTTCAAAAGGATGGATTCATTTTTCAAAAACTGGACAAAAATGGATGGATTATTCAGATTATCGTAAAACACACGAACTTAGAAATGTCGATAAAAATGATTTTGCCTTACACTGATAAGACCATTGTCAGTTGTAAATTACTCCAATAATGTGTTAAATAATAATTGGTAAATTATTTTACCTCCTCATACGTATTATATTAATTTTACCGATAGATTAATTTTTTTCAATTTTAAGGTGTTTTTATAAAAGGGTATTAGTTGAGAATTCGCAACTTTAAATTGTAGAAAACAGCCACTAATAATTAATTAATTAACAGGCCGACCATAACCCGTATTACGGGTTACTTTTTGCTAGTTTGAATAAATAGGCGTTTTGAAAAAAAGCTGAAGAGTATTGAAGCCAAGTTATTTTAAAGAGTTGTTCTACATTTTTTTAAACATTTATAATCTAAAAAGATTTATATATTTTGTATTACCAGCTGCAAGTTTCGTATGTCAGTAGCTATTTAATATGCACATTTTAAACGAAATCAAAACTAAGTGTATCAATAATTTTAAAAATTTGTTTATTTTTTGATTTTAAATAATTTTTTTAAATTTTAGACATATTAATAAAATCTATGGCCCTACAAACTCCATCTGCATCGAAAATTTCACAAAGGTTTTTTACTGATTAAAAAAGTGATCAAGAAATAGAAGATGCTTTATTAAATAATTTGAATAACATACAGTATCGGACAAAACAAGTGCAACCAAATAATGCTAATTTAGTTTCTTTATATAAAAGTGCTTCATTTTTTCAATTTAGAGAAATAACTATGTAACTGTTTAGAGACAACATTCTTCAAGTTTTATTCATTACAAAGTTCATTATTTGTACACGAAAATTAATAAAGTAATCAAAAGTATTCAAAAAAGTTAATTTCCTTCTGGACAAAACAAGTGCAACTCTACAAAATGTTGACCAAGCTGTATTTCGCTATCAATACTTCGTGGCGAATCCTTCGTTGTCGATCACAGCCTTGCATCTTTGAGGCATAGATTCCATAAGGTGATCAATGAAA